CTGTTTTCTCCTTGAGGAGGTTCTGACACATCACAACCATATTTTCTATCAGCTTTCATTTCAGTAAGTGTCACTGCTTCCAGGAAATTAAGCATTGCCTTTGCCCTCTGCACCAGATGTAAAAACTCAATGCTGTGCTGACTTTGTACCCAGGCTGTTGTTGGGAGCCAGCCAACAGGAGAGGCCAGGTTGCTCTGCCCTTGTCAGTGTTCACCCACAGGCTGCCACATGCAGATTTCATCAGCAGCTTGATAAACTTGACACTTTACCTCAGGATCAATGATTGAAAGAATGGATAACCGCTTTCCTAACAACTCCAACTAACAGAAATCAGCAGGGATTTCTGAGAGGGTTATTTTTTATGATCTACTTCTAAATTACTTCACTAGTTGTAAGGTAAGCATAAGGAATATTTTTAAGAACAATACTGTTAAGGTGGAAAGCATCATGGTAAATGGGAAATACAGTAAAATGAGATTAGGCTTTTTCTCCTTCCAAGCAGAATGCTAATTAACTTATTCATTACACTAAAGTGGTTAAGTATAAATTATTTATGAGGAATTTATTTTTCCTCATTTTGGGCTCCAGCCATTATAAGTTTGGCTCTGCAGCCACAGCTGTTTCTTTTAGAAACTGAATAGCTTGAGAAAAAGAGGCCAAGTAGAACACAATTCTGATTTCAATTGCAAATATTTAGAAATTTAAAGAAAGCCAGCAGGTAAAAGCATTGGCTATTTTTCATTGTTCCAATAGAAGTTCAATCCCTAAGTAAGTTAAAGGCAAACTGTCAAGGTGCCACAATCAAGTAAAATCAAACATACTCCATTATGTGAAAGAAAAGATGAGGACATGGGCTAGGTAGTGCAGAGCTGTCACCCCATAGGACCCTCCAAACAGGAGATCTGAAAAGCAGCAGTAAATTTTTAATAGCACTGATGGACTCTTGCTGGATTACAACAGACTTCAGGCATATTTGTTCTCCTAGTGATAAAGGTCTGTTCTGGAATACTGTGGCAGTAAACAAGGATGAAGAAGAAAAGGGAAAAATAGAATAAGAAAAAAAAACCCCAAACAACAAAACAAAAAAAACACCAAAAAAACCCCACCCCACCCCTCAAAAAAAAAAAAAAAACAACCCAAAAAACCCCCCACAAAACCCCAAACAATTGAAAAATTGTCTAAAATGTGAGTGTAAGTTTGACACCCCAGCAGAATTTCATGATAATGTTACTGTTTTATAACTTTTTTTTGACTGAACTGTGTCAATGTGGAGAAGAATTCATGGGAAAATAGTTATCAAACAAATTAGAATCTAACCAGTTCCAGTTCATTGTGTGTTTCAGACCCCTCAGGGCCTGACTAAGGGAGAGGCTGAGCTGACTTTTTTCTATTGGTCTTTCATTGACAGCAGTAGGACTATTCAATTCACTGTCACATATGATTTGGATTAGTGCATATCCAGAGCTATACCAATTTACCCTAGCTGTTATCTGACCCATTATTTCAATGTCAATTTACAAACAGATTCTATTTTTTACAGGCTTGTCTACAAAAAGACCAAGCTGAATCGGCTACTACAGTGTATACGTAGGGCTGCCACCCAAGAGAATTTGATGCCCACAGCTGAGGTAATTTGTATCAGTCCTAAACTGTCTCTTCTTGGCTATCTAGTTCTGGGTGCTGTCTGCCTTTGTAAGGAATGGGTGCATTTCATGACATTGAAAATGCTGAAATTTTGAAGTAGTTAATGCATCTATCTGTGTGTCTGTACATGCTATAGGTACGGAACCTTCAACAGCACAGGTGAAGGTGTATTTCAGTGTCTGAAAAGAACCTCAAGAGGACAATGATGTGCTGCCTGAACCCTGAATGTTAATGACTGTTTTCAATACTTGACCAAATGAGTAGGAACCGAGGTTGTTCAGAGAACAGTTTGCAAAACAAAGCCACCCTGTCCATCTGAGAATAAAACCTGCAGTTAAAAATAAGAGGCCACTAAGGGGACTTTTTTATTCCTCTAGAAACCATCTCCCATTTCTGGTATCACCCCAAATCTAACTTTCGTCTTAGAAGATCCATCAAGATGCCACTGACTAGTCCACTCCAGTGTAATTTGGATCTGCATGTTGGCAAACATTCTTTTTGCCTAGCTTCTGGGTGGGGGCTCTACTGGTTCAGTTCACTGTGGGAACATGTGGTGTTGGGATGTTCATATCAGTAAGCAGCCTGTGTTACCTTAGATGAGCTGCTGGTGTGTGTCTGGAACGCAGTCACTCTGCTCTTTCTTCTGGGTCTCTGAATGCTCTTGCATTTTAAGCCATCTGGGCATAACTTTACAACTTATTTTTGGAAGCATGTGAAAGAGCTATTTGTCAAACCTTTAACTTCAGATTGGTCAGCACAACTTTCTGGAAATTCATACAGCATTCAGTCTTTATTCTGTGCCAAGCATGAGCTGCCCACAGAGGAGAACTACACTGCACTTACAGCAGCTGCACTTCAACTGTCATGTTCTAGATGGAATCTCAAATGTTTACTAATCAGACAACAAGCCTTTCACATTTCAGCATCTGAATAACTTAAGTCTGGCCCTATCCCGTCGCAGTGAAGGAAATAAAGTGGAAGCTCTGGAGCAAGTTACTGTATGCCCATGACATGCTGCAGCCATTCATCAAGCAAAGACTTTTAGTCGTGTACAAGGTATCAAAGAACATCAGCAAAGACCTCTAAGAACAAAAGAGTAAGGATACAGAAGCTAATTTACATCCTTGCCAAATACTGAACATAAGCTCAGCTAGCATATATTCTGCTACATCGTGTGAAGACACATTCTGTACTCCATCAGTTACTAGCATTGGGTAAATTGAATATAGAATGAAGAGCTCAGAATATACATATATGCAATTCAAACAGAACATACTCATTGCAAATGAAGTTGCATAAATCAAACTTTGAATTATCATACTGTGCTGATTTTGACTGGGGTATGGTTAGCTTTTTCCACAGAAGCTAGTGTATTTTAGATTTGTGCTGAGAACAGTGTTGATAACACAGAGATACTTTAGTTACTGCTGAGCAGTGCTTAACACAAAGCCAAGGCCTTTTCTGCTCCTCACCCTACCAGTGAGTAGGTTGGGGGTGCACAAGGAGTTGGGAGGGGACACAGCCGGGACAGCTGACCCTGACTGACCCAAGGGATATCCCACACCATATGGTGTCATGCTCAGTGTGAAATGCTGGGGGAAGAAGGAATGGGAGACATTCAGAATGATAGCTTCCCAAGTAACTGTTAAAGTATGATGGAGCCCTGCTTTCCTGGAGATGGCTGAACACCTGCCTGACCATGAGAAGTGGTGAATGAATTCCTTGTTTTGCTTTCCTTGTGTGTAGGTCTTGTGCTTTACCTGTTAAACTGTACTTGTCTCAACCCATGAGTTTTCTCTTTAAACTTTCTGATTCTCTTCCACATCCCACCAGGGGAGCGAGTGAGTGGCTGTGTGGCGCTCAGTTTCTGGCTGGGGTTAAACCAGGACACATACTCAGGGCAAATAAATATTTTAAAAAATAACATGGACTTTTAAGTGGAAGAAAGAATTTTCTTATTTCTGACATCCACCTTTATTTAACAGAGACAATGACATACAGCAAGTCGCTCAGCCTGGCACAGCACAGCACAGCCTCTCAGAAGGGGTATCTGTCCTGCAGCAGACCCAATTCTGGCTCCTGCCATGTTCCAGTCTCAGCTTCATGACCAGTTATGTCTTGTCCAACTCACTGACCGTCAGCATTGCCCAGTTTGGACCAGCTTACGTCTAGTGCACCACCTTTGGCTGTTGCTGGGCTCTTCTCTCACATCCGTTGCCGCACTCAGTCTGAGCAGACACGATAACTGAACACTCACAGCCTGGCACCAACAGCCTTGCACTGCTGTTCTGCCCCATCCCTGTGCAGGGGGGAGCTCAGCCCAGCCACAGCCTGCCTTCCAGTGAACACCCAGAGCTCTGCTCTGAGACAGAGTGCATTATATTTCTCATCCACAGCCAAGGGACCAGGAGGTGCAGACACTGTTCACCCCATACATGACGCACGGGTTCCCCCAGGAGGATCCTTGGGGAAGTGCTCGCAGCAATGACGGGAATGAAATCCACCAACCCATGGGAACAGGCATGGCTTCCTGAGCCCCCCCACTCAAAGTGACAGTTTTTAGAGTATTCTAATTAGGAGCATAGAGATTTACATTTAGTCAATTAACTTTTCACAGTAGCCAAGTCACAAGTCTCTAATTGCTCAATCAGTTTTTGCTCATGCTTCTCCACTTCATCATGTTAGAGGCTTCAAATTGAAGCTGGCAAAAATTGAATGTTCTCACTTCAAAGCCCGTTTTCCGATCCTCTCTATTCCTCAGCTTTATTTTTGCACATGTTTATAGACCTGGCTGATGTTGCAGTTACCGATAAAAGAATTTAAAGAGACATGTTGGCAAATGATTGTATCACACTCAGATTTCAAAAGGCCCTAAAGATTGACATAATTTTTGACTACCAGTAACACAGGCAAAGCTGGAAAACAGTAGTTGCTGGGCATCAGAGCAGTGACTCTTTAATGAAAGTAAATGTGAAGAGATACGACTGCCTTTTTTTGTTTGAAAAATTCAACCTCTTATGAACTACTGTGTGAATATTTACAACACAAGGCATAGACTTCAAACCACTCTAAAGCAAAGAAGTACCAGACCAACTGTTCCATGTAGTCAACTTCTTCATGCTACCAGCTACTTAGGGAAAATTAGAAAGGATACACTCACTAGTATGTCATAACCCATTTTCCACAGACTTCTTTCCCCCTTCTGTATTTCTGCCTCATATGCTTGTTAATCTCACTGCTTTTTTTGAAAATCTAAGCAATTCTGCACAACCATATAAAATCATGGATTACTAAAACCAGGAACAGGTGATGCCATATTATAGTGCACTGACAGAGGGAAGAGCCTTAGAACCACAAATCCACAAAATTTTTTATTAAAATAACACCAAGTTTAAGAAATCAATGCAGTGCAAAGGAACTTCAATTCATCATCCTGAAGTATGTAAACTGCATTCCAATCCTGACATGATTCACATAACAGGAACAGAAACACTGTCCCAGGCGAATGTCAAAGTTAAAGACTGGCATGCTGGGCAAGGAAGGTTCTTATTCTTTGCAAGAGTTCTTTCTTTACGCTGTCTGGTACCAAGGCTGAAACATAAATAAGAAAGCAAGAAGTAAAAAGCAAGACAACATGGAAAACATGTTGCTAATACTGACTTTTCACAACAGCTACTTCTATTCTTTTTCTGTTCTTGCAATTCTGTTAATACCTAAAGTAACTGAAGCTACTTGATTTTCATAGAGCACATCCATATTTTTCCCATTTAAAATGGTATATTTATATGTCCTAACACATCCATGTTTACATTTTCTTACCTCTGCCTTTGGGAGTGATTTCTGCCACCAAATCGTCAACAGTAACATGCTCTAATCCTTTTTCTTTAATGACATCTGGGGAACACCAAGAACAATACTTTAAGTCTTTTAACCCATTCATTAGAAGACAAAACCTATGCCAATGATTAAAAGACAAAACCTGCAAGCATAGGTCATCAGAGGATGTGAAGCAGCATGTGACCTAAATGTAACTCAGTGTTTACTGCATTGCACTGTGGATTGAGCCTCTCATTCATACCATGGGTTTAAGGACGGGAACTTGTAACTACTGATGCACCTTGATCAGCTCATGCTTTAGAATCCAACATCACACAGTTTAAGCTTATCTTAACATTACCAGGTGTGTGTTGCTGGAGTGTTGTAGCACTTACCTCTTCAAATGCATTATTTATATGACAGGGAGAAAGAGATGCAATTGGAAAAAGACTTTGGAACATACAGCAAGGGAGAGCTGTAAATGCTCTATGTAAATGTAAGTGCTCAGAGACAGTAAATGCTTACTACTCTTCCTAAATGGTTTAAACATCATCTCTGTATTTCAGCAAAGTAAAAAAACATATCTGAAAGAAGGTATCTACAGTAAAATAAAAGCTAGATTAAGATGTACTGTATGATTAATGCATACCAGCATTTAAACAATTGTCTATTTATAGGACCTTGAAGACACCTAAAAATGCAAAGTCAATGCTGAGAAGAAAGTTCCAATCAGCAGCATAAACCTTTTTTTTTTTTTTGTGGAAATGTGAATGTTTTTAACTGTATGTCAGCCCGTAGGACTGATAGTTCAAGACACTAAATCCATTTTCTGAACTGACATCACATGAACTATTACTAAACTGTTTTTCTTGGTTGAATTTCCTGTAGAAATTAATGCTGGACTGCTCAATTACTGGCTGTAACCCACAAGGGCAAGAAGCTCTAGAACAAACTACCAAAAAAACCCCCCAAAACCCCCTACCCCCTCCAAATTCCTCTCTGTCCTTTTCTTTGGAGGCTGTTAGGCCCTTAACAGGGACAAATGAACTTCTGCTTGCAGTTACAGTTCAAAGTACTAATGTAAACCAACATTTTACATAACTTTCCTATAGCAGAGTATATAAAGCCTATGGTTGAGAGGGCAGATATACATCTACTACCTATACTACTGAAACAGGTAACCTCTGGCAGTGGCATCAGGCAGACAACTGCCAGCATGGATCATTTCAGCCTTTTTGGCAAATCCACCTAAGAAAACAATTTAACACACTCAGCCCTACAAAAAGAAAAGCCTTGTGATGGAATATTCAGTAGCTGGGCACAATAGACCAAGTCAGAACTAAAGCAAAAGCTCCAGGGATTTGTTATTTGCTTTAAGGAAATTTCATCATGTGGTAGTATTCCTGGTTGCTTAGATACTATTTGTAAGTCTCATACAAGTCAGTAAATTCTAGCAATGCTTCTCTTAACTCAGAACTAGAGATTTGGGTATCTAAAGGTTCATCAGCTTGTTTTTTCTCATCTATGCAGATGACCTTACTTTCAAAAACTGTATTTGGAAAGAGTACAAATGTACTTCCTCTCCAATATGCAGACAACAGAGTTCTTTCAAGCTCTTAAGTTGCGTACCACTGTATTTGCTCCATTTTCCTCTATCTTGTTTTTTATTCACCTGTGGTAAGGAAGTCATCTCTCTCAAAACAAAAAGCTGTGTCATCATGAATACATAGGGAATCAATTCCGAAACTTTTCCTCCCAAACTTAAGAAAGTTCAGATCAGAGAAGAAGTGTCAAGATTTTGTCCAAGATGGCAAGCTGCTTTCTCACATGCAAAACCAATTGCCAGGGACACTTTCCTCTTGCCCATGTCTTGTTTAAATTGAGTGTTACGCAGTAAAGTCTTCGTCTGGGACTTCTACTTGGCCAGAACCTCAGCTGATTACAAAGGATATTAGTTATTTGACCACTGTTACCTTTGCAATGTGCCTTCAGCTGATCCTTCCAGCCACATTCGATTAATTTGGCTCTCAGCAACTCTTTAAGGCTGTTAAGACAATGTTAAGACAAAGTTGTTAGGAACATCAAACATTCCTGACAGCTTAAATATGCTTCAGGGTGAAAGTTAAGTCCACAATTCCTGCCCACAACAGAACTCCCAGACCAGAAGCAGAAATGGCTGAACAGCATGTGAACCCTAACCTGAAAGAGTACTGATTTCAGTTTACCATGTTGGACTGAGGGGAGTTGGCAGCTCAAGAGCTAATTCACAGTGTTTTTTTCAGGCAGTGTTGATGCTGCAGCCACAGAAAAAGAGGTAGAAGCCCTTGCACCACTTGAACCGCCCAGGTCTTCTCTGTTAGCCTATGTACACTAACTTTAAAAGTTAGAATATTTCACCTGAAAACAGGCCTTCAAAAGAAAACCTTCCCTCTTCCCTTCTGAAAGAATTCTATACAGCTGTCTTCAACTGCAGGTTTCTCTTCCCAGTTACACTTTGTTGAGTGAAGACAAAGGGACCATGTATTTTATCTTCCTAACATGTTTAGCAACTATAAGCACAAGCAAAAAGGATTCAGGCGCTAAAATGGAGAAGACTCACAACAATCTGCTGCGATGATGCATCTACTCCATGTATCAAAAGAGAATATTGAAAGCTAGCTAAGAAAGTGAAAATTAGTACTGATCATAGAACAGCTCTGATAAAACTCCTTTATAATACAGCTTTTGACATCCTGACAAACTCTTCCCACTCTTAAACTAGAATAGAATAGTTCCCAATATCATTTCAAGAAATTGCTTGCTCTGCTGAAGCTCTGCAGTCTCCAATGGGACAGTCACAACCAGGAAAGCAGCACAGTGTAGACACCATGTCTATGAAAGGTTACACTGGGCGCAGGTCTATGTGATGACCTAGGGAGAAGACTCCTTCTCATACAGGCCTTAATAAAGGAAATGGAGCTTTTGGTGCATGGTATTATGAGTATAGTGAAACAATGATGAGGATGCATGGCCAGCAGGTGGAGGGAGCTGATTCTCCCCCTTCTACTCCACTGAGACACCACCCAGAATACTGTGTGCAGCTCTGGAGTCCTCAGCACAGGAAACACATGGACCTGCTGGAGTGGGTCCAGAGAAGGGCCACAAAAATGATCAGAGGGATGGAGCACCTCTCCTGTGAGGACAGAATGAGAGAGTCGGGGTTGTTCAGCCTGGAGAAGGTCCAGGGAGACCTTATTGCAGCCTTTCAGTTCTTAAAAAAAGTTGGGGACTTTTTAACAGGATCTGTTGTGACAGGACAAGGGGTGATGGTTTTAAACTAAAAAAGGGAGATTCAGGCTGGATGTGAGGAAGAAGTTTTTAAAATGAAGGTGGTAAATACCGGCACAGGTTGCCCAGAAAGGTGGTTGATGCACCATCCCTGGAGACATTCAAGGCCAGGCTGGATGCGGTTCTGGGCAAACTGATCTATTTAACGATGTCCCTGCTCATTGCAGGGGGATTGGACTGCATGACCTTTGAAGGTCCCTTCCAACCCAAACTATCTTTGGGTTGCTAGCAATATGTAACTACAATGCAAATAAAACTGACTGAAGAGACAAGAAAAGGCCAAAACCTAGCTGCCACACTACACTGTGTAATTCACTTGTTTGCCTTTATTGGGATCTCTAGAATGACTTGCACAAGTACTGCTTTATGTGTTCCACTGCATATTTCTTTCCAAAAAAAAACTAACAAGAGACAGGTACACAGGAGAAAATCAAAAAGGGAAGCCTTGTCTCATTCTCTGTATCAGGAAATAACAAGATTTAACTGCAACAAAGCGCATTTAATGGTGATTTTTATAAGAACCAAGAGCTTTCCAACAAAAAATGCCAGAGTAAGAAAAAGCTTTAGAGTTCATAAGCCAACCACCCTATCCTTTATTTTCCTAGCTTCCCTTTTCAAGTGAAAAACTAAAAATTGCTTGAAAGGCAAAAATAAGAGATTTTTACTATAACTTTACATAATACTTTCACATGCAGGTATTTTCAGACTTTAGCATTAAGTTTACTTAAACTTTACTTCTAGGAGTGGCTCATGTTCGATGGTCTTTATGGCCTCATGCTGGCATGGAATCAGAAGCCTGCTTACCGTTCTCGCTCTCCTGTTTCTATTAGCTTTTGGTTAATGGTTGCTCTCATCTGGGCATCTTTGTTCATGGTGGAAGTCCCGGTTTTTCACCAACCACACGGAGCAGAAGAGGGGCTCACCACCATCCGTGTCACTAACACGACAAAAGGAAGGTCACTCGCACACAGACAGCGCCACGCCCGCTGCTAACGACCCATCCCCGCTGCTAACGACCGGAGAGAGCTCCAGGGACCAGCACCGGAACAGCACCC